ATGTTAATCATACTGTTATAACATTACTAAACGATGCATCAACCACCATTGTCATTGATCCATGAATTCGCTCCTGCTATATTTGGTCATTTTTCTGTCACAATATCTCAAGCATACAGAACAAGTCCAGTGCAGATGTTGTCGCTAAGTACTCGAATTACGATTGTCACATTGTTCAGACAGACTAAGTCTCACGTAAAATGTGTCCTGTGGCCATGACTGAGTTCATGGTTCAGTCTGTTTTACTTGTATCAGAGAGACAAGATCTTCCAGATCTTCAATAACCTACAAGTAGTCAGATTTGCAAGGCTTAAGCATGTGGGGTGTTTTTTTAAATAAAAAATAAAGTAAAACATTTGTGGAACGCATAGGCAACCACCACTCATTCACAGTCTCTAACCTAAAAAATTGTGGACAGTTGTCATCTAGATAAGTTTTAAAGGCACTTAAAGTATGCCAGTGGTAGACCTAACACGAAACCCGCCTCTATAATGTTGGCCTACTTTGTCAGAACTGCTGTCCCACCCTGAAACTCATCTGGCGATTGGCAAATTCAGACCATTTGTAACTCCTCTAATTTGGCCTGATTCTTTGCTTGCTGCACTCACCTTTTCAAAGATTGTCAAATTTGGTCTATTTTCTTTATAAGTTCGACTCTCGTCATAAAAAGTATGAAGTATTACCTAGAAGTCTGGCAAAACTCCTTTGTCTAAGTGATCACGGTGAAGTCCAGTCATACGTTACTAACTGGGACCAGATCACCATCCCAACCAGTTTTCACACCTGTCACATTAATCCACAGACACACACACATTCACACAGAACACCCTTCTTTGATACATCTGCTATTGCACTTCCTAAGCCATGATCATGTAAAGAATTATGCATATACAAATACCTTCACAGGCTCAAATGCACACAGGTAGTCATAAGCATCACAATCGCTTCTCGCTGGTTCCTATTTGCCCTGTGACCACAAAAAAACAAATATAGGGCTCCCGGATATGTGTGTTCTTGTGCATCTGTGGAGCAACTGGAGCGTGAGAGAGGGCTATCCTGTAGGTGTGTGTGAGTCTGTGCCAGACTGTTGTGCGGTCTCGGGTGTAAACGTGCAGTCAGGACTCATTTGGCAGACAAACAGGCCGCAGGGTGGCTGGGGAATCGACGTGTGTTTGTGTGTGTATGTGTGTTTGTTTTCATGTGGGTATCTGACAGAGAAAAGAAAGGAGAAAGAGAGCACAAAAGCAAGCAGCAAAGGTTAAGTTTGCATGACTGCACTGTAGCCTCTTTCTGTCAGACAGTGTATGGCACATGTACACAGTCATACCTAAACACACAGGATATTTCTGCATATCCTATGGGGTCGAAAAACGTAACCAAACTCAACACTTACAGAAACCAAACCATTTCCCTAACTTTTGATTCTATCCCATATATGATGTTCACACTTGTTTGATGAAATCAAATACACACCTTAAACCAGTTATTACCAAAGGTGTTTGCTTCTGACTGGTGATTATGTCTTTGAAGTTATCATAAATGTTCTTATGCAAATTATTTAGATGAATTTCATTTAGACATTACTGCACATCCAGCTCAAGAATCACAAATCCACAGCAAACAGCATGCAAGTGTTACAACTTCCTCACAAACACACACACACTTCTTCACACAGTTTGCAATGCCTTATCAACAATGGGCAGAAAGGAAATGTAATTAGAGCCAAATAAGGAACCTTCCTTTGTCAAGTGAAATCACAGGTTTGAAAGAAAGGTCTCCACCCCTCCCACCTTCACCACCTCCTCTCCTCCTAACACCTCTTACTTTCTTCTCTCCTCCATCTCACTCTCTCAAACTCTCTCTCCATCAATACCTCTCTCTCTCCATCATCAGCACTAAATTCCCACTGATGTTTCTTTTCTTCTGTTGTATCGATCGCTTCATGAGAAGGAGGGAGGGGAGGGAAGAAGGGAAGAAGGGGGAGATGGCGTTATCTGTTAATTAATTTGTCCTGAAGCCGGCCGCCTATTAATCAGACAGATAAGAGGCATTGGATGGCTGAACGGCGTAGACAGGCTGGTTCAGGAGGGGAGAGGTACACATACACACACACAGACACACAAACATACTGAAAGAGACGCACAACACAGACTTACGGAAACATATGTATGGGAATTTCTAGATACAGGCAAATTACTGAAGAAATGGCACTCTGACAGCACAGTCATTTTATCAGGCTCAACTGCAAAATGTAAGTTTTCACATCCTCACAGAGGTACCAAATTTTTATTTAATCAACCATACATGCACACACACACACACACACACACACACACACCTCATTCTGATAAAATCATTGACGTACCTCAATAAGAAAAGCTGCACTTTCAGCTCAATGAATTAATTACAAGTGTTTTAATTATTGGTGTTTCCTCTGTGTGTGTGTGTGTGTGTGTGTGTGTGTGTGTGAGTGTGTGTGGGTTTGTGAGTGTGTGTGATGTTCAATTAAGAGGATGTCAATGACTTTATGACCAAAGCTTCGTATTAATAAACAACGTGTCTTTTTTTTACACATTTTTGACAACGTTTACAATATTTCATCTTAATTGTTTTTAAGATTTATTCTACCTGTGCACCTGATATTCTTTTACCACATACTTCACTTTTCTTCTGAATCTACCTTCTATCTAAAATATTCTCTTTTTGTTCCTTATATTGCAGAACAAACCAAAGCAAAGTTTTACATCACATTTGTTTGTTCCTTATTAATGACTGACACGTCGAGGGCAGAGGGAATGGCAGTGACATAAGCTGAAGGACTCTTGTTTAATTTATATTACTTCATTTTAGCTTTGAGCAATGCAATTGTCCCTTGTGAGTCTTCAATAGCCACTACGTTTTTGTGTTGTTTTCAGTGTTTGTTCAATTAAAGACAAAAACATTGTTAAGAATACACTGGAAAAGGTGGATAGCATTGGCTCAGGATGTTGCAAAAATGAAAGAGAACAAATCTCAGTTTGGTTAGAAGTGGAGCTAAATTACAGTGAGTCATATGTGATGCCCGTATGCAGATGTGTAAGTGTGTGTGCTATCTTCATCAGACATGTGTGGCCCCATTAGCCCATCATCAAATTCCACCAGAGGGGTGTGCGCAAAATGATTGAACTCTCACTTCTGCTCCCAACGGTTGAGCACTGAAAACACACAGATAGACAAGTTAAAACACAAAACCAGTGACACCATTAAATGATATTAACCCCCTACTCATGTCAGACTCTCTTAATTTCTGTAAGATTCTATAAGTGCATGTGTTAATTTTAGCAATGCCAGCGTATACGTCCCTTGCCCACAATAGGAAGTCCAATGGACCCCCTGAAGATATCTGCCTCTGTGAATGAGATGTGTGCCCATGTGTGCAAGTGTGGGTGCAAAAAGATCCCCTTAAGAAATTCACCTCTAATCCCGTCTGATGATTTCATTAAGCAGAAGAAGACATTGCCAGTTGGCATTGATACTGCTCCCTTCTCTGTGCCTTGTGTGTGTACAAATCATACACATTTGGATTCATTCCAGAATGCGTTCCTATGTATTTTTGTCTATGCGTAAGCAGCATTGTATCTGTGTGTGTGTCTTTACCATTGTGTTGGTGTGTGCACGTGGATGTCAAAGATGTTAACAGTTGTAGATAGAATTAATTAGAGCACATTACAAACAACAATAGCCTGCAACCTGGTCATAATGAGACGCCTGCCATTACCCATCAGCACTCTGTGAGATAAGGGCCCCATAACGTGTATGCATACGCACAAATTCACCAGCATGCATTTCCTTGCACGTGCAGCATCTCGAGAGGAGGCACATGGTAGCAGATGTTGCTGAAGAGATATCTTCCTTCTCATCTGCCTGCTCCTCCTGGTAGAATGCTGCTCTCAGATGCACACACAAACAGAGAGTGGAGGGCTGCAGCGAGGTCTGACAGGTGTGCTTGCATGGCCCACTGTCTCTGCATTCCCAACGAAAGCTGCACTCACAAAAACATGCACACTGGCAGACAGGCAGGTGTGAATGGACAGGTGTGTGAAGAGAGAACAGCTGTGTGGAGAGGTGTGAGTGGGCAGGTGTTCCATTAAAGGGCTAGAAAGAGAAAGACAGACAATAAGTGAGAGACCGGTGCCCTTAAGTAAGAAAATAATCAAAAGCCAGGAAATGAGGCAGCAAATATCGAACTGTCAAATAGCAGCAGGCAAAAAAATCTGAACCAGGAAAGGCTAAACAGATACACAAGTGTCCACGAGGACTTGCTGGTCACAATGTATGAAAACAGACCAAGAGCCAGACAAACAGATGTTTAGTCACAATTAGACACGTGAAGATAAAAAGCAATAGATTCAATGTAGACAAAGAAAGAAATAGACTAATGGAAAGACAAAGATTGACACCAAGGAAACCAGCAGTTTTGAGGCCTTAGCAGCAATTAGTGTGTGTTTTTGAGCAGCGCAGCAGCGATGTCCAGCATTGATCCATGGAGGTTGTGTCAGGAGGAGATAAGACCTGCCTTCCCCAGAGAATAGCTATGGGCATTGGGGGGAAAGGAAGAGGAGGAGGTGGAAAAGCAGAAGAGGAGGATGAAGAAGATGACTCGGGTCATGTGGATGGATAAAAAACTTGGGAGGAGAGGGAGAAAACAGTGTTGATCTTGACCCTTTCACCATTTTCCCAAAAAATGTTCCTTTCTTCCTTTGTTCCTTTCTAGTTTTACATCTAAAAGAGTTGCTGTTCATCAGAATTAGTGTCCCATAAACAAACCCTGGAGGTTAATAACAAATCACATGTTCAAACAGATCTACATGCAGTTATAATATTGCATTTGACTTTTTTAGTTTTTTTCTGGAGAAAAATATACATTCTTCAATTCCAAGCTGTGGTTCGATGGAAGGAATTAATTAATAATTTAACCATCTTTGTTTTGCTTCTCTTCTCTGTGTCATTCCTCAACAGGCTTCTCCACGCTGTCTCTGGCAGATCAGATGAGCCTTCTGCAGAGTGCATGGATGGAGATCCTGATCCTGCGTGTTGTGTACCGCTCACTGTCTTTTGAAGACAAGGTGAGGACTACCTCTGTGATTGCATCTCACTTTCATGAAATATGTGAAAGCTGACATCATTTGCAAGCCCAGCATTTTTCTGTGCTTCCCTTTAGTTGGTCTATGCTGAGGATTACATTATGGACGAGGACCAGTCAAAGCTAGCGGGGCTTCTGGACCTGAACAACACCATCCTTCAGCTCGTCAAGAAGTACAAGTCTATGAAACTAGAGAAGGAGGAATTTGTCACTCTGAAGGCTATTGCTTTGGCTAACTCAGGTTTGAAACTCTTCAGTCATCTGTTTGTGTCTTCATGAATATTTGTGTTTGACTTGTGGTGGAGAGTTAATCCTTTGAATCTCTCGTCTCATGGGACTCATTTAAGCTGAACCACCAGACAACTACTTTCTGCAGTCTGTATCGGAAGGCACAAACAAACACCCCTGTAATGATGCATCCTTTGGCACAGGGAGATTTTCTTTCTCTTTTCAGAAACAAGCATTTGTCACATCTTTAACTGTTAAAAACGGACACAATATCTTTATTTCTCCATGTTAGCCAAGGGGAGCCTTCCAAGCATGCACAAACATGTTCAACATGAAAACCACCCCCAAACAAAGCGGCAGTCCTTTTTACAATTAGCATAGTCGTCTCTTCAGATGCCTGTTAAATAAGGTGAAATCATTAGATCCTAAAATCTGTCAATATGGCCCCTCTGTGATGTGTTCAGTTGCATCGACAGCTGACTGACACACGCACACACAATCCCCCACACATACACCGCTTCCTCCTCACATGACCCGTCTTTTGAACTTTGTCTTGGAAACAGGCCAGCTCTTCAGTACTCTTTAATTACAAGGGGGGAGTTGTCAATACAATGTGTTTAAACGGGTGAATGCAATGTGAGAGCTTTGATTGGAGAGGGAGGGGCCTTTTATTCTACTTCTGACACCATCAACACATATGCACACAGACACACACACATCCACTCACAGATGTATAGACTGCTACATTTTCTCTCAAACATGCCAGTTAAAGTTTTTTCTGAGATTATTATTAACACACAATCAGTTCATCTATATCCAAAAGTGAAATGTTTTTAATAGTTTTATTACAAGCATAGACATACTGTTATGGATGTATTGTTATCCTGTGGGCTTTGTGTGACAATCAATGCCTTGCCTTTGCCTGCGTGTCTTCCCCCCAAAAATCTCATTACTACAATTTGACAAAACCTACGGGTTCTTGGTGGGTTGTTGGGCAGAAAGTTTTGATATCTGAACTTGCTCTGTGCCAATTTGTTGTTTTATTATTTATTTTTCTCTTGAAAGTTTTACTGGTTAATTTAGTCTTCAGTCTGTGAAATATCACAAAATAACCACCGGGCAGTGTAAATCTCCTGCCACATTTTATATTGCACACTTCAAATGCTTGTGCTTTTGAGTAATATTAAAACAGCTGATGCCCAAATACAGTTAGTACTTTGTATCACTGCCCAGACTCTAACTGCTCTTCAAGACAACAGAATGCTAGCATTAGCATTTTGAAGGGCACTGACACTAATTAATTCACAGGATGCTAATCGTCTGCATTAATGAAGCCAAGCCTTAAGAAATGTTAGCAAACGTGCCCCACATGTAAAGGAAGCTAAACTAGCCATGGAAAACAAGCGGCATACATGTTTTGCCTGCACTTGTGTTTGTCCCATTGTGTGGAAGTGCCCCGTTAACATGTGTGTTATAACAGCCTTATATGCCTGTGCTCATTAACATCTGCTGTTTTACTTGTGACTGCACGCCAGGTCACAGCACATGCAGAACCCTTGTCTATTAGCTTGAACACAATACTAATCAAAAACTAGGTGGAACTCATTATACTTCAGCTTGGGTTCAGCTAGATCACTGCTGGCTGCACTTTAAATAAAAAGGAAAAAGTGATTTTTTCTTCATGGGGCCTGTCACAAGCATTTGTTTTGTACTCGTATATCCTGCTTGTCACCAAAGTTTGTGTCAAGTTAATTAAAGAGGAAATACAGATGCTGCTAAATATTTGATCTGTAGTTATTGACACCAATGCGCACACATAATGTAGGTGTATTATGTGGCATGCTTTGGAGTAAATGAATGAAAAAAATCATTAATAACATTCAGGTTATTTATTTCTTCTCCAACCCCCCACTCCCACCAATATATAGTATAAAAGAAATCCAGAAAACTGGACCTAAAGTGGAAAAGCTGACTTTTCTATTGATCTCTACAGAATACAGCCTGCTAACTGGTCAGGTCCTGCATACTGATGCACGCATTATAGTCCCCCATCCAGCTTTGTGTCTTATATTGTGTTTGTGTGTGTTACCAGGTCCATCTGTGTGTTTTTGACTGTGTTGACATATTTTATTCCTTATAGCTGTATAATGGTTTTTGTTTGTTTGACATGTTCATCCTTCCTATGTCAAGGTTCCCTTACTCCTCTCAGAGGCCCGTAGTGGGTGTCTGGATGATATTCGCTTATTACCAATACTTGTTAATAACCTTTTGTTCAGGAAATGAAGACAGTTAAGAATGAACTAATGAAGACTATGCAGGATTAGAGCAAACGCTATCCATGCAGTGTTTTATCAGAGCTTTTCAAAGTTTACAGAGATTTTCTGACATTCAGGCACGATGATAAGTTGCCATTCGTTAGTTGTACACAGGCGGTGCCATCCGTGTGTAGATGGATGTGGAGATAGTTGAGGGGGGATGGCTATTGATAGTTGTCTTGTGATTATTATTTAACATGCATGTAGTCATTGATTTAAGACATTGATCGGAGGTTAGGAGCTAAAGGCCAGCTGGCGTTAAGATTTTGCCCCCCAAGGGACAATACAGAGCAATATTACCGAGGGACATTCTCGTTTTTTACTGCCATACATGCCGAAACACATCTCACATGCCAGCCCGAAGAGAGGATGTAGAAGTGTACGACCATGTGCTGATGGACATGCAGAGTAAACTGTTTTGCTGAAACACCGGATCAGTCTCATATTTTCTGTCCTTGTCTTCCAGATTCCATGCATATTGAGGATGTGGACGCAGTGCAGAAGCTCCAGGATGTGCTCCATGAGGCCCTGCAAGACTACGAGGCTTCTCAGCATCAGGAGGATCCTCGCCGGGCAGGCAAGCTGCTCATGACGCTCCCCCTGCTCCGCCAGACCTCCACCAAGGCTGTCCAGCACTTCTACAGCATCAAGCAGGATGGCAAAGTCCCCATGCACAAACTCTTCTTGGAGCTGCTGGAGGCCAAGGTCTGAGGATGTGGACGAGATGGAAGGACATCCGCAGCCCACTCTGAACCGTTGGAGCTTCATCTCAAACTTCGATTAATAACGTTGAATGACCTCTTGCTCCTTTACACGCAGGCACTATTGTACACACCTACACAACCACACACCTTTGGAGAAATAATTTCCTGAGGGTTGTTCGCTGATACATCACCCTATGATAAAATAATTTATCTAAACTTCTTCCCTGAACCTTGGACAAAAGGGTGCTCACTTGAATCTGTTTTGGGAAGATGTGGACAGATTGAATTAATCCCTCAAGTTGACGGGAAGAAGAGATTTCCAGACACTTACCTAATGTCAGTTATTTAACAGTTACCACACTGACTCGAAACCCCTGATAACGAAATCCTGATGCATTGAATGACAGTTAATATATTACCAATTAAAGAAGGACACATTTAAAAGAACCTAAAAATCTTCATTTTAGTTCCATAAGACTCCAAGACTGCACTTGTGTCTCCCTCGCCCTCCTTTTTTTTTTAAATGTCCCAGAAGAAGACAAGTGGAAAAAATGAACACTTTGGAAGTTTTAATGATGTTTGTTGTCAATGTATATGTACAGTGAAATGTGGATGGAAGGACAGAAAGAAAAGAAGAGATTTGCCCTGCCAAAGAATGGAACCAACCATTCAGAGGATGCCCGCCAACTTTACCGTCTTAACCCTAAACTGTCTCTGGTTTCAAGTGGTTTTCAGTCCTGAGTTTCACGAGCTCTGTTGGTTCTCTGTTCTAAGATTTATTTAAATAATATCCGGTTGTTATTGAAACTTTCTCTGGGCTCAGAGTTTCTAAGACCAGGATTGGAAACTGCTGGAAAAAAACGTTTTGGTTCTACCTGAAGTCTGTACCTGATCTTCCATGATCACCCTACTCCAACTGCAGCTTTACCATTGGTCAGTTACTCTGGCCCACCAAATTTGTCAGTAATTTCTCACTGTAACAATGTTTGTAGACATTATAAAGATAAAATGGTTTCAAAGGTACACAACTAGACACCAATCTGAGGTGTAACAATAAAACTGCACTGCATGAGTTTTTATTTGTTTGTTTTTTGACAGAGTTAAAATCTATTTTACGTCTTATTCACCTATAACAAAATCAAACTTCTTCAAAAGCCAAGAATGGATTTCTTACAGTCTTGACAGATCGAATGTCCATATTTTCAGCCGAGTTGAACATTCTGTTGCATTCTCATGTGATTGGACCATCTATTTGAAACATTTTTAGGTGCTTTGTGGCTTGTGTTTGCAACTGTAAAGAATCACTCTGCCACCCCCCCGTCCAGAGCAAAAGTTCAAATTCGCACCTCAGTACTTCTCTCCTTACACATCTTGTAGCTCATCTCTCGCAGCCAGGCAGAGATTTCTTTATGACTAAGTGTAGCTTCAGTCACTCAACCTAATACAAACCAGAGGGGAAAGTTGGTTGACAAAACTGGCTGAAGAACAGCTAATGTTGCTTTAAAGTCTTTGTTTTATTTCTCAATTTAAACCTTGAAAACTATCTTATCAATGATGCTAATTTTAGGGTTGTAAATAACTGTCATCCTGTATATGACATAACACAGATTTATTTTTGTCCTTAATATCATCTTTGAAATCATTCAATATGTCTTTCCTTTTTTCTACCAACCTGACAGTTATGATATATATATATATATATATATATCTCATAACAAGTAATAATGTATTAACAGATCAATTCATCTTAGGAACTCTGAACAATGCAATAGTGGTTTTTAAGGGAGAGGTTTATGCATACAGACAAAGAGCAGTAAATGTATTGAGCGCCTGCTTAAATTTTGAGAGTGGGAGTTCTGTGGGAGAATTGGCTGTATCTCTTCCTCTCTGTGTAACTTTGCAGAAGTTAGATAACATTCAAGATTTCATTGTTACTGAACACAAGTCAGGTAGGGCATGGATCTGGAATGTCGGCATGACTTCTTAACTGCTGTTTTCACAGAAATGCTGTTTGAAGGAAATTAGTCATTTTGAGGAACATCTTGAATAGAGAAAATTTTGTCTACAGTTAACGCATGCACCTTTCTTGACCAGGCTATTTTTGCAGTCACATTTGTGCAGTTTAAAACCACTTTTCACCCCCCTATATGCATGTGTTTTGACCGTTACAGGGTTATAAGTTACATAGTTCTGTTTACATTTCCGCTGCAAGAATTCTTTCTTCCTGTTAGCTCACCCGAAATGGACTTCAAGTATCCACCCTAATAACAACTTGTTGGTTTGCAGAATTGTGTACCATAGTTCACAGCTTTTGGCTGGTGGTATCTTTGTCTTTTGCAACCACATGTTGGGAATGAGTGGTCAATCTGACTCAGATCTCTGGACACCACATCCTCCTTAGGAGTAGCAACCCACCACACAACTTGCCATGTTTTTTTATATTCCACTCTGATTCGAGCTGTAATCTCTAAATGGACATCACTTTTTTTTATATAAATCATGACACTACAGGAGCGTTAGATGCTTTTGGAAAATGTTTCCAATCAGATGGGATGTAATACTTTTACCCCAAACTTCTATACAAATTGCTTTTATTTCACAGTCCTACAAGATTTGAGACTTTTCTATTTTGCTTTACTTTTAACTCAGCATGTCAGATATTTCATACAATTCATGTCTTCTAGCCTATTTCCTGTCATGTATCTTTTCAGTTTCACAGACAATTATGACACTGAAAATTTAAACTTTAAATTGTTTAACAGCCTAAAAAAACTAAATCATGAAAGATAAGAAGCTTACAGAATGAATGAAAAAGTGGAAATTATCATGTGCAAGTCCAGTGATATTTAGAAATTTGCTCCTATTTTGTTACCTATTTAGCAAGTGCTGTAATTCTAATCAGCTACATATGCCACTGCACAACCTGAATTGTTCAGGTCTTGCAGAATAATAAGATTTGACTTTAACTAATTTAGCTAAATGATAGTTTTAAGGGACACAAAAGGAAGATGAGTGAAATTCATGACAGTGATACCAATTGTTTTAATTGTCAGTGATGATAATGATGCTTGCTTAAATTCTGAAATCTTCTTTAGATTCAGGAAATCGCTGAGCTCACAAATTCGTGTCACACTTTCAGTTAAATGGCAAGACAACAGTATATAAAATAGGGTTTACTGATCACAGCTTCTGCAGGTAGACAGTTTTATTTTGTTGTGTTTTATTATTTATCTAATTTATTCAGTTGAATAAGAATGCCAAAATGTGTAATCGTAATGAAAGTATAATCTAACAGTAAATGGCAAATTGTCACAGCTGAGGAGAGCAACAGTTCAAGAGTAGGTGATTGCTAACATCACATGTTCTGTATCAGCCATCAGTATTATTAGTAAGGGGTATTTTCTCAGCCTTCGTAATCCCTGTATATTGTAAATTATACAGATTATAATTCTAACATAAGACATTTTATTGGAGACAAAATCCAGAAAAAAAGAAAAAAAAAAGTAGTTGAGCCTGTGTGTTTCATGTTTGCTGATTTTTCCTATTAAGAAAAAAAACTGGTTTAAACAGTTTTTGGTTTTGCTTTCTCTTTCTGTTTGATCCTTTCCTCTGTTGAGTTTTCTGAGGCTTTATTGTGTAGTTTTTCTTGTGGTGATTCCCGTTCTTGTGTCGTGTGCTTCTTCTTTAGACAACCCAGAGTAGAGTAGAGGCCATGTTGTCAGTCTGTCTTTCTGTCAGATCTGTCTACTGGGAGTCTGGGCATCAGATTCTTGCATAATGAACCAAACCTGACGTAAGGCTCTTCTTCTAGAAACTTAACTAGACCATCAGGATAAAATTACACTATTCATCTCTACCAAACTATACATAATTAAATATTAAGTATCCAAATGAAGAAACACCTTTACAACTATTTAAAAAGGGATCATTTGTGTACCTTTCCTGTAGAATAAACAATATACTGTATATCTTTAGGTTGAATAAAGCTGAAATGAAAAGGACCTTTGAGTAACTCAGAACTGTAGGTAACTCTTTTTTGATAAACTTGCTGTACATATCTGCGCTCCATGAAGCTCAACTCAGTCATTACCCTTACTGTTTCAAAAATCCAAAAGATTAAAGGGGAAATATTTTCATTTCCTATTTTGAAACACTTTGGGTTGATGAGAAAATCATTTTTTCTTCATCATGCATTGACATGGTGGACCCATGTTTCCACAAAACTGAACCACAACGTACATAATCAACCTAGAAGTGTCACCATGACAAATGTTATCAACATATTATTTGTTGATTTTTTTTGTTGCTTTTTTTAAAAGAAATTAAAGATGTTTGTAGGTCAATTTTAACGGCACAGTTAATCTTCCCATTTCAGTTACAATGTAGATCACCGTACCCCACAGATGTCATTTATTATGATTCACTGTACATTTCTACCCCACACAAAATGTTCAGAAGAAAAGTGCTGTCTTACTGTTTTTTAAATGTTTCTGTTTTATTTATTTATTTATTCCTAGTTGTCAATCCAGACCTGGGTGCCCCTGAACTATTCAGCACAGTGAAAGGTGTTCCATGTTTCTCCGGGGTGATTAATGCTAAGCTGAATTGGGTTAACAGCCTTGTTTCAAACTGAAAATGGTTCACAGTGGTGCCACATTCTTTTTCTGGCTGAGCCCTGAAGAAAAAATTGACCAGCTGAAACCGGATGGTCTCTGAGGTTTTGAAGTAGTTTGCTGCTCAAACATTTTGAACTGCAGGCGCCCTTTACGTTAATCATACTACCGTACTTTACTTTAACTTCTTTACCTGTTAAAAATTAATATGCTTAGGTCTGCACTATGACGAGACTCGAGAGTTGCACAGTATTGTGCTGGAATGTAAATCCAAATACTGATCTCTATAGTTTGGAGAGTTCTGCACTTGGCATTGAAACCACATAAACAACAATCAACCAAAATTGTTTTGTTTTTTCCACATAGATTTAGTGGAGGATGGACGACGTTTTTC